ATAAATAAACACGTGAAAGCGACAATAAAATTTGCACATGGTTTACCAGATCTACCATAATGGTTAACGGTCGAATTAATCGACTCACGGTTCTTTTTTTAAATGGTTCATATGTGAATAAAGATTCGATATTTATGAGAATTGTTCATATGTAAATAAGGATGTATATGGAAAAAAGTCGTAAATAACACAAAGTGTGTATATATGTCAATCTGTGTTTGTATTTGACACAAGGGTTCATATATGTCAATTTACGTTTGTAATTGACACAAGGGTTCATATATATCGAGTTGTATTCATATGGTTGTATAAATGTTCATATATGTGAATTTGTGTTCATATGGTCACACATGTTCATCATATTTCGTATGTTCATTTGTGTCAATATGTGTTCACATTTATACCAACTGTACATATATGTCAATCTGTGTTCGTAATTGACACAAGGGTTTATATATGTCGAGTTGTATTCATATGGTTGTACGGATGTTTATATATGTGAATTTGTGTCCATATATATGGTCACACATGTTCATCATCTTTTGTATGTTTATTTGGGTCAATAAGTGTTCATATTTATACCAACTGTACATATAAGTCAATCTGTTTTCGTAATTGACACAAGTGTTCATATTTGTCAATTTGTGTTCGTAATTGACATAATGGTTCATATATGTCTAGTTGTGTTTATATGGTTGTACGAATGTTCTCATATGTGAATTTGTGTTCACGTGGTCACACATATTCATCAGTTTTCGTATATGTCAATTTGAACGATACCGAAAACTTTACTACCGGGTCTCCTCCACCAATCACAAATTCATAAACATTAGAGATAGAATATCAATATTAAAAAAAAATAACAAGATTAATAATAAGTTAACACAAATGATGGGATTTTATAATTTTGTAACTCTAAATTAATGATATAGGAGTTACATAAAAAAATTACATATGTACCATTGTCATTAAATTCTAAGATGGATAAGAACCTAATACTAAGATGTATTGTGATCGGTTGAAAATGGTTAACAAAGTAAACACAATAGTTTGGGTTAACATTTGAACCATGCGTTCTCTCTCTCTCTCTCTCTCTCTCTCTCTATATATATATATATATATATATATATATATCACCAAAAGTTATTTTGAGAAGTGAAAAATATCTGAGAAGTAAAGAAGTGATTCTACCCCTTCATATGGTTAATATTGGATTTGATTGGTCATAGAGAGAGTAGTTTCATAAATTTTACAAATAGGCGACAAACGAGTAGATATATGAACTTATGTAATTTATACATGAACTATATGTTCATATATGAACCCGTGTAATTCGTTTGTCTATCCATCGGTAATGAGAAAAGAAGAAAAATAAATAAATTCATCGCTAACCCCTCGCTAATTAGCAACGGATTAACGATGGATAGACTATAAACCCCATCCATCTAAAATCCCTCGCTAATTAGCGACAAATTAGTGATAGAGGAGATTTATGGCATACTTGTCGTTAATAATTGAGGGATTAGAGCTGTTGGTAATGCCCTTTTTTTGTAGTAGTGATATAAAACCCTTTTCGATTCTATGAATACCCAGTAATCATCTCGTCTAAACGAGAACGTTAACTATTTAATAAAACAAGAAAAAGGTCGTTGATGTACAAAATCATACATGATTCACATACACATACACACACAA